TTGCAGCCATTATTGTTGTTTGGCAGGCCGGGGCTGGATTCGAACCCGCCACCTTAGGTGTATGTGGCTGGCGCCTTAGCCGCTTGAGCCACAGGCGCCGAGCCCCATATTCACTTTGGTCCTTTCCTTTCCCTAGTCTAAACTCTCTTCAACAAGTAATATTACTTGCGTTTTATAATAGCCTGATAACTGTTCTTCATTGGACTTCCAGTCTCAGAGCATTAGAGAATTTGATTGAGGAAAGCTACAGATATCTACCCAGATTAATATCCTCGTTCACAAAAATTGTTGTACAATGCTGGGTTTTGCGGGTGGGTGCAGGGGGAGGAGCACTGATCATGTAAAAACCCGTCCAAGAACCATCAGCTTCCCTTCCTTACTGCTTGAGATAGTGGTGGTGATGGAAGTGTGAAAGTTAACTTTCTTCTGCAAGATTTACCAGGCCAGATTTACCTTCCTGGCGAAATCTCTAGACACACACCCTAAACTTAACAAACAGGTCTTAAACAGGGCAAATACGTCCACCTCTCTATGTATTTGCTTTTTAAGTTCTGGAATACTCTACCCCTAGCAGATGCACTTTTCATCAAAGTCCAACTCGAATGTTACCACTCAGAAGCCTCGACACTCCACCTCCTCCTTCACCTTCAGAAAAACGGCATGACTCTGTTTCATCTTTAACATTTCATACCTATCATAGCATTTAACAGTTGCTAATAAGCCTGTCTCCCGCAAGAGCTGAGATTGCATATATATACTCGTATTCACCATTGCATACTCACACGGTTGACTAAATTAGTTTTGGGGGAGCTCGGCTCACGTTCTGAACCAGCACCATGGTGCTGTTCATTACAGGTTTCTTTCTTTCTTTTTTATTTTTTTGAGACGGAGTCTCACTCTGTCGCCTTTAGAGTCCTGTAGCGTCATCGCTCACAGCAACCTCCAACTCCTGGGCTCAAAGCGATTCTCTTGCCTCAGCCTCCTGAGTAGCTGGGAGTACAGGCGCCCACCACAACGCCTGGTTATTTTTAGGTATCGCACGGTATCGCTCTGGATAAGGCTGGCCTCAAACCTGTGAGCTCAATCCACTCGCTTCGGCCTTCCAAGGGCTGGGATTACAGGCGTGAGCCACGGCGCCCGGCTCATGGCAGATTTCGAAAAGGCTAATACACTTAAGCAGAAAGCTGAGCGATAACAGTCATACTCGGCAGAGGGGAAGAAACCAGCTTGAGAGAGTGAGTTTATGCCTAGTCTTCCGGACCGCGAACGGAAGCAGTCCGCAGCACGCCAGAGGGCAGGACCACGAAAGCGCCCGCAATCAAATATGAGTCTCAGGGTTACAAGGAAGGAACGCGAGCTGCACTCTGGGAGAGGCGAGATTGACGGCCGCACTGCACGCTGGGAGTTGTAGTCACATCCCTTGACAGTTACGTTCGGCTACGCTCAACCACGTCCTCCAACGGATGAGGTCCAGTTTTTGGTCATCTAGCACAGAATGGAGAACTTTTCCAGGGCAAGTCTACCTAACGGCACTTTTCGGAGCAAACCCGGTGTGGGCGATGTCTGCCAGGAAGGCGTGTTACTTGCAGCTTGCGCGTGCGCAACGCTTGCGTCTCGGCGCGCGCGCCCCTTGGCTCGCGAGGCCATCGGGAGCAAGGCAGCGCAGGCGCAGTGTCCCCGGGCCAAGATGGCGGCGCAGTGGTCTACACGCTGGTTGCTGGTGGCAGTGGGGACCCCCCGGCTGCCGGCTGCAGCGGGGAAAGGGGCCCGGCTGCTCAGGGAGCGCGTGGTGGGGGCGTCCCTGGTCCGTAAGCTGAGCGTCACTGCCTTCGCGCCTTCCCTGGGCGCTCGTGGACCTCGGGCGCTGCTGACATTGAGACCCAGCGTCAGCCTCGCAGGTGAGGGTAGTCTTCAGGGCATAGAAAAAAGTGACTCATCGATCTGGCTATTGCTACGGGGTGGCGGCTGGAGAGTGTCTTCCTACCCAGATGTGGAAGTGCTGGAGAGACAGGCAAGCAGCAGACAGGGCCAAGCGGCTACTCAGAAGCCGTCAAGTGAGGGAGAGCTGCATGGAGCCTCCGGCTGCGGTGGTGAAACGCTCCATAGGCCATGAACCTTCACCTCTTACCATTTTTGGAGGCTGCTTCTGTTTTGTCCTGTTCATTTCCCATTTCACTACCTTGTAGGCTGTAGTTTAAAAGAAGTAACTGCTTTCGGTGAGTGCTAGGCGCTATGTGCCTTGTCTTACTTGATGGTGACAAAAACCTTGCAAGATGCCAGCATTATCCCTATTTGGTCATCTAGCACAGATGACCAAATGTCACCCACGGTCTATCCCTATTTTTAAAGAGTAGGAAACTGAGGATCTGACAGAGAATTTGACCATCCCAAGGTCATAAAGTAGATAAGTTATCTCACATCGGTGCTATCATTCCACCACATGGCACAAGTTGAAGGGCACAGTTAGTCTTCTTTAGAAGTCCTTAAATTTGTGTTTGTAATAATAGCACAGTCTAACCTTTATCGTGCACTTACTATTTGCCAGGCAAGGTTTATTTCTGTACATCACATTTTCACATGAAAGTTACTGTTGTTAACTCCGTTTTATACAGAAACTGAGGCGTAGACGTTGAACAACTTACAGAATGTCACAAAGTGGTATACTCTCGGTTTGAGATCTGCTGCCTTTTTTCTTTTTTTTTGGAGACAGAGTCTCACTTTGTCCCCCACAGTAGAGTGCTGTGGCTTCATGGCTCACAACAAACTTTAACTCTTGGGCTTAAGAGATACTTTTGCCTCAGCCTCCCAAGTAGCTTTTAATTGCTGGAGGTGATATTGAATTATATATTAAGCCTTGAAGTGTTTAAAGTTATCTTATGCTGGCTTGGCGCCTGTGGCTCAAGCGGCTAAGGCGCCAGCCACATACACCTAAGGTGGCGGGTTTGAATCCCCAGCCCGGGCCCGCCAAACAACAATGATGGCTGCAACCAAAAAATGGCCGGGCGCTGTGGTGGGTTCCTGTAGTCCCAGCTACTTGGG